CTTGTTGCGATACTTGCTTAGGTTAGTCATGCCTTTTTGTTCTGCCTGCAAAGTTACAGTTTCCTGTTGGTTATGCTTTGGATTCCTTCCAAAGACACGCATTTATTGGGTAAAACGTTAACCCATTATGCCCACTGGCAACTCTAGAAGCCAGCCATTCCGCCTTTGTTTCTTGTGAGAATGTTATTCGGGAGAATGTGAACACTGACCGTTTTCCATGCTTTGAATTGCCGTAGAAACGGGTACAGAAAATGGATGGATATTTTGATTTTCAATTTGAAGTGACATTCAGAATAAATAAAAACGCCTTTGAATCCAGTTTCACTGTTGTCTGTATCAATACAAAATAAGTACTTAAAAAGTACCAGTCACTATAAGTATATATATATTTTTATTTAAATATGGTTTATATTGTGTAAATATATGTTTCCCACAAGGAGCTATACCACTTACATATTCATAAATAAAGCACTTCAGTATGGTTCCATGTGCTTGCAGAAATATACTGTACCAGGCCCATCTGGAAGCCTGGTGAGGAAGCTAGTTCCAGTACCTGCATATGATACCATCAAAGGTGAAATGAAGTGGAAGAAAATGACAGAGCCATGAAACGAAGCTGGAGGATGAAGCTGGGCAGTGCTTCAGACAAAACAGTCTGTGGGAAAGAAAAATGCAGACACCCAGGAAGCTTAAAGGCAACGATATAGAGCTTTTCAGACCATTTTCTCGGTGGAAGCTGCTGTACGCGTAATAATAAGGAATATTCATATGAAAAGCAAGTTTATGCTCAAGAAACAGAAATTAACATTAATGACACTAAGAGAAGGTGATGGGAAAGGTTTCCATAATCCTCAAATGCTTAGTTGCTACAAAATTATGCGGTATTCTGAGGTGCATCGGCAATTCCTTTACTCAAAGATCCTTACAGTTAAACGGGTGGACAGTGAAACACACAGCTTTTACAGGCAGATGGTATGCAACATTTAACAAAACTAGCAAAAATGTAACAGCATTTACTGTACAATGTCATACAAGATAGGGGTTGAACATATAATATAATATAATATAATATAATATAATATAATATAATATAATATCTATACCGGCATATTGTATTTAGACACAAGCCCAATATAAGAGCCTGCCTTCCTGAATTTATAAAAGCATAATTCATAATATAAGATGTGTACTAACTATAATTAATCATTTAAAATTTGTAATACCAAAATCTCCCCCTAAATGCATATCATCAGCCATCATTTTTCACATTACAAAAAAATGAATTTTACTGATATTTTTGTCGGATACTCATTGACTCTTCCAGAATTGCTATTAAATAAACAGCAAAAAAGAAAATGAAAGTGATACAGTATGTATGAATATATGAACAACATCAAAAACAATTTGATTTAATTGAGGAAAGATGGAGAACGCTGAGATATTTCAGAATCCTCACTTGTAGGGATGTGGAATGTGACTGTAGGCACCATAAAGATACATCAATGTTACATCTAATGAAGTTTTCTGTGACATTTTCACATATTAATATACAATTTTAAAATGGGGCAGAAAAGAAACTTTCTTTTCATAATAGTTGAAACTCAGACCCAGTATAGTTTTGAATATTGCGCTAATTGTGAACAAATTCCTTCAGATGTTACACAGGTTTGTGAGCTAAGAAGACACTGCCATGGACTTCATTCCAAAACATCCTGCAAATTCTATCTGCAGAGAAGATCCTCTGACAGGAAATGGCTACATCCTCTATCATACTTACAAAATCAGGTTACTATTGTTATTATTATTATTATTTCATTTATCTTCAAGGACCCCTCCATAAGGAAATCATGCGGTATGATTGATTGTAATATATTAATGTACAGTGACTTGCATTCTGGAAACCAGCTAAACCATACTCTGCTGGAATCTACCATTCAGGACTCTGCTAATTCTTTCTGTGTTTGCTTATGTATAGTGTATATATTCACAAAAAGCTTGGCAACTCATCAGAACATTTTATGCTCCGGAGTCTATTGCCTATGATCCCTGTAATGTTCAATCCAGGATGGTGCCAAGAGGGAGTTACTAGTGGTTTGCTCATGGAAATACAGTTTAACTTTAACTTTTTTTTCCCAGACTTGTGAGGTTGTACTCTTCTATTCCATCTTCTCTTCTTCTTTCTAAAAGAAGTCACCACACTTCTTGCTCATACTAAACTTTACACTAGTGTACAACAAATACACTAGCTATACGCTTACAATACACTAATAATTATAAAACTATTTATAAGGGATGAAAAGCATGTATTCGATTAGCATGTCCTAAAATGCAAAAAGAAAAAGAAAAAAAGAATAAGGTGCATGAGGGTGATGACATTTTCTTCTTAATTACGGAACTTAAAAAAAGTCTGTGATGGAAAAAAAGCCTGTCAAAATGTATCATTGTCTTTCTTGGTGAATGAATAGTGTGTCCTTTAAGGATGTTATTTCAGAGGCTGCATATCAAAATAAATAAACGGCAAAGTAACAGGTTATCATGGACAGTTGTGTCATACTGTTCTGCGAGTTCCTTTGTAATTACCCGAGTCTCTCTCTCTCTGTCTGCACCTGGGAACTACGCTACCAAAACAGGCTACTGCATTACATCGCCTGGAATGTAAACACGCACCCACTGAATACTTCTTTGGAAGTCCCCGGGAACACAAAACATCCATCAGGGAGGGAAATAGGGGAGATAATGAACTGAAAGTTAGATGACACACTCAAAGCCGGAAAGTATGCAGCCACGTTTCTCAGAATAAATCACTGCCCTCATGAAATTAATGAAAAAGAAAACAGTCACATGTTTGCCTTAAGCGAGTATATACATTTGGCATAATTTATAATGCTGATGAAAAAAGAAAGGTGGCATCCTATGACAGCACCGCGCTTGAATTCACTGAGCTCTTCAGGACGACCCATTTTTCACAAATGATTGTAAACCTGACTACATGGTTAGGTACTTGATTTTATACACCTGTGACAATGGATGTGATTACACCTGAATTCAGTGACTAAGAGGTGTGTCCCAATACTTTTGTCGATATAGCGTATATCCAGCTATATAAGATGGATGCTGTAAAGGTGCGAGGCATGACAAGAACGATACCCAACTGCAAATTAAGTTAATACTGTAATTAGCATGGACTCTCTCTCAAAATCTGAATAATCAACTTTTGTGATTTTCTTTTTAAAGTAATTTTTTAACTTCTCCGCTTAACTTCAAAATTCCCACATGCACCCAGACTTCACAAAATATAGAGGATCATTGTGGTTGAGATCATTTTTAACGTTTTTCTTCCAGCAGCACCAATCCATCACAGAAACCATACAAAGCTAACAGTGAACCATAAAAAGCATAATAGCGGGAAATAAGTGGCAAGAAATCCACCCCTATAGTTCAATGAAGAGAAAGACCAGCGGTGCCAACTGAATCATGGAGGGCTGCTCTATGGTCTTACTCAGTGGTGAGATGGGGCCCTTGGTGACTCATTGAAACAGGAATTACTTGATTCCTCCGAAGCCAAGGGGAAAATTCCCAAGAGAGGGCAGTGTATAAGCCTGGATGAGAGTATATTTTCCACTCACCCTCCTCTTAAGGTAAAGTTTACACATTTAAGCAGTAAAATCAAACCATTTAACTTGCAAGCACCTTACACCCCCCTTACTGGTAGCCCTGGAAGCAGCGCTGTGCGCTTTACTGCTGCTTCCTTTCTGATTTTGATTAAAACTTACAGGTTTGAGTCAGGATTAAGCAATTTGCTGCCTCCCAAAGTCAGTAAAAGACTCAGACATTGGCTACTGGCATCGCAGCAAAGCAATTTTGTAAGTGTATTTTTCATCACACCATGTGGTTGCGCCCCTATAGTGCAAATTCAGACCAGATGAGATCCCGGGTAATGATGATTAGCAAAATGGAAGGCTTGGGGACAAATTCTCTCCATGGTCTTTTCAAATTTTCAGATTTCGAACCGAGGACCAATAGACAGGCATGGCGCTTGGTCACATGACAGAAGTGGAGTCAGTAGCAGCTGACGGAAAGGAAATAACATCATCATTATTTAATGAGGTTATCAGTTACGAATAACGAGAAATTCAATTGAAACTATGTGGACAACCTTCAAAATAAACAATATTAAAAGTATCTAAAGCAATTTAATAATCTGAGCTATCTCACGATGGCAATACAAATGAGTCAACATTGGTGATCAGCTATCCATCAATAGCAAAAAGGGTTTTGCAAATCATACTGCATTATATTCATGTACAATGTGTGAAATATTGAGATATTTCAAACAACAAAAATCTTGTGTATTTGTCAGGCAAACTGCATAGTTTCTATACAGACTATAGCAAGTGATCATGGCGGTTAATGCAGTGCAGTAGAAGAAAACTCTAGGCCATCATAGACTTGAGGGCATGCTGATTTTTCTTTTCTGTATTATTCATAATAATTAATATTATTATCCTCAGTATAAAAACTACGAACTATACTGCATATGACCATAAACCAGAAAGTGATCTTTGTTCTGGCTTTGTTTTCAATGATAAACGTCTAAACATGTTATGTGCCTCTGCCAAAGATAGCGTCATAGCGTCGAATAAAAAACAACCAGTAAACTAAAGAAGTATTGACACAATTTAGCTTTTTTTTTAACTCTGCATTCATGTACGTATGGCAGTTATTTCCAAGTCATTAGAGTCGTACCAAAACTTTACGATAACAGAGCTTAAGGATAAAATAAACTGAACAGTGCAGGCTTTGTAACGATATAAGATGCAGCTACATATCTCGTACACATAAAATGTGGTTATATTTGGTCGCTTGAAGTTCACACACATTTTACTTCAAGTGACATGGCAAGAAGTAAATACAACACACTGACTGGAAGAAGCGTCAGCAGTTTCACCAAAGAGGGACACATATTTTGTTCACATATTATTGTAGTTTACACAGAATAAGCAGCAGATGCGTTATTTTTTATTAATCTCACTTTAGAGTTTGCCGATCTCTCTGAAAAAGACAGCAAGCCCTTTGATTTTGCGTCAAATCAGTTTACAGAAAGACAAAAGAAAAAAATACAGCAAAGGCTAGTACAGCATATCGTGTCAACAATGGTCAATTCAGCACATTTTATCATCTCCACAATTCAGACACCTTCATTCTGACTTGAAACATCCTCATTGTTGTTGATTCTTGTTCATATTTACACCCTTTCTCATCCTTCACCTATCTTGCAGCTGGGTGGTTCATCCAAAGTTTACATTTTCCTGCATCTTTTCACTACTCAAATTACACATGAGTAAGCTAAACATCTGACTCAAAAGGTTCAAGATGAGCGTTTGGAGACAATTTTACTCCATCAAAGACCATCTGTTTTCATTAAACGAATATGTATTTAGGTATAAGAACCTGTGTTTTCCTGCCACATATGCAGCTATGTAGAATTCTGTGATTATCTAGCTAGCTTTTACTTGGGAACCTAGTCACTGTAACGCAACAACTATATAAAGTAAGTCCAATGATTACATACAATTACATGACGGAGACGTTAAAAGGGTTTACCTGATAATAACGAATAGCCCAGTTTTATTGTTTATGTAAGTCATAATTGCAAGTGATGTCGACGATTAAAGAACTGAGGACAGTAGATGAAGATGAGGAAATTTTAATTAAAGATGGGGGATTTTCAGCAAAGACTGGGTGGGGGGGAGGGGTGTTTAGATGAAAGTGTAGAATGTCCTGAAATGAACAATTAAATGTATGAGCCTTAAAGAGACGCATTTATAAATACAATCCTTACTCATCAGAGCCATAAAGATATTAGGCAGAATACATGGGTTTGAGACAAAGCGAACACCTCTCGCTCCATGAGCTACGATCCCGGGCGTTCAGTGTCAACGACTGCTTCTCACATTGCTTCCAGATAAGTGCATTCACATTAACGATGCTTTCACTGTTCTCTGTGCCTGCAATGACTCTCATAACTGTAATCCACGCTCTGCTCATGTCTTTGTCACATCCTTGTGGAGGAACGGACCATTTCATTCAAAATCACTGCAAAGATTATTGAATACCGTGTTAAGAACTGTCATATTATTTCTTTCCATTTCATAAGTGTACTTCCCTTAGCTATATGGTTTTTAGAATTATATTAAAGTCTTATGTTAATCTGTAAAAACCGATCACTCTTTTATAAAATCTACCATCTTAAAAGACAGACAGCTTACACACATTCTCAGAAACTATTATAAAATCCATATTTTTCCTCATGATAACATATAAATAGATATGAATTATTTACTAGATAAAGAAAGTTTAATAGAAATAAATACATATCTGATAATTAAACTTCATGAGTGGGATTTTGCCACTAAAAAAATGTACATCAGAAAAACATAATGATTAACTTGAAATATTTCTTATAAATATTTACTTTCCCAACTGTTTGTAACTGTGTGATGGACAGTCTCCTCCGGAAAAAAAAAAAAGACATGTGATCATAATCTTTTCAACGACAACCACAGCCTTCAACCACCATGTCCTGATAGTTTTTCAGGACGACCTTCTCATACTCATCCAGGTACAGCAGGGATATGGGACTGAGTTCTGTTGGTACACAGCAGGCTCTGGGAATGTTTGTGTTCACTGAGTTGACTAGAGTCTGAACAATAGCATGATTTGTCGAGTTAAGGTGATCTGCAAGTGGGAACGGACACTCCCCATGGCAGTAGAAAGCATGGTATCCAGGGGGAGCAACTATCCAATCATTCCAACCCACGTTGATAAAGTCCACATAGAGCGAGTGCCGTCTACAACTGCTCTTATGCTTTCTCCTTTGCTTAGTTCTAGCTTGTCGCTTCTCTCTGTTATGGAGGACATCACCACGGCCGTCGTGGCTAAAGGTCACCAACAGGGGCCTTATGTGAGGCCAGGAATTCTCGTCCTCATGTAAGGACCTGCTGATCCTTACATGCCTCCTAGCATCCCAGCCGGTGCCGTTAAGGTGGATCACCTCCAGGAGGAAGCCATGGTTGGCGTGCCCTTCCTTCGTCCACCTCACGATGGCCGGGCTGACGTCGAAGCTCTCCCACTTGCTCGAATCGGGCTGCAGTAGCCTCGTGTCTAAAAGTCTTGTGATGAGCTCCTTAGAGCACGAGTCTGTCCTTAGAACCTCATAGACGTTGATGCGGTGAAAGGTGGCGCTAGAATTCTCTCCTCCCTTCATCAGGTCTCGGAAAATCCTCAGCTCTGCTGACGTGATGAGTTCCTCTTCGGGAATGGTGGTGAGATTGAAGAAGAACTTTTGTGCCGTTTTGCCACGTAAGCTGGAAAGAGCTTCCAAAGACTCTGACGGGAAAACGAAATTTGCATTGTTATCAAGTATCCATGCAATGCTCCACACCTGTTGACCTTCTAGTAACAGCCTAAACAGATTACAGGATATCAAAAGCAAATCTGATGCAATGTGAGTCATGAACCAAATACAATATACACAACAATGCTTATATGTTATATATTTTCAATTAGAAAACTGGGAAATCTGAAATTGGTTTTAATCTAGGGGGAGGCATGGAGATTAGCACTGTTGCCTCACACCTATTGGACCAGGGTTTGAGTCCCCACCATGGCTTCATATGTCTGGAGTTTGCATGTTCTCCCTGTGTTGCTGTGGGGTTTCCTCTGGGTGCTCTGGTTTGTCCCCACAGTCCAAAAACATGTGGAGGATCAGAGGAGTTTCCAAATGGCCTATAGGTGT